GCCTCCCTGAGTGCTGGGATTACAGACGTGAGCCACCACGCCCGGCACATTTTGCTTTTTAAAGTTGAGTCCTGAAATTAGAGAATCTTGTTCAGATGGCAATAGATTTGCTCATTTAATTCAAAGAGTTACTGTGAAATTTTGAATTTTGTAATGAAATTTTAATGACATAATTGTGCACGGAAGGGCAGAGCTGATTAAGTTTAATTGATTGGATTTAAGGAGCACAACCTTTGGGGCGGAGCCTATGACCCTGACTGGGTGGAGACTGTGTCCAGCCACTATAAAAGGCAGAGTATCTGAGCACGAGCTCAGAGGAGATCTGGCCAGGAGCAGAAGAGTTGCAGACCTCGGGCCTTCAAGACCTCCACTGGAAGTCCTCAAGTCAAGGTGACCTACAGAGAAATACTGATTAGGGTAGAGACTGCCCACCCTAGATCCTGTTAAAGACCCAGCTGGGCTCAGCTCCCACAAGAAGCAGCTTTGGTCACAGCCAACACATCATCTGGAAGTCTGCAGACAAGACACATCCCAATTACTGAAGAGCAGATTGTGTACTGAGGGATTCCAAGAGCTTCCAGAAGCTAATAAAGGATCATTTCAGCTCAGTTCACTGCCAGGGAGTGACCCTCAGGGACCATGGCCACAAGTCTGCAAGAAAAGGCTATGTGCCCAGTTTGCCTGGATTTTTTCTCCAATCCCATTTCTCTCTCTTGTGCACATGTTTTCTGCTTTGATTGCATGCAAACTTGGGTGTCAAAAAGGGAGGATTCAAAATTGACTTGTCCCTTGTGTCGAGAATCATCGGAGAAACCTCCTTTGGAAGAATGGCAAATCAGAACACTGACACTTCTCATCAAGCAGCACGGGCCCTTACTGGAGCTAAGTCTGCACGTGCGCAGTGAGCTCCAGCGGTTCCGGGAAGATATGACCCTGGATGCAGCCACCGCCAACTCCCTTCTTGTCGTCTCCGATGATGGAAGGAGCGTCCGGTGTGCAAAGACCCATTACGACACGATGGAAGACCCCCGGCGATTCACTCACCTGGCCGGTGTCCTGGGTACACCCTGCTTCTCCTCCGGCCGACATTACTGGGAGGTTGAAGTGGGCGAGGTGAAGGAGTGGTCTCTGGGTGTCTGCAAGGAGTCGGTTGACAGAAACAGGAAGAGCGATTTATCCTCTAAGGACGGCTTCTGGACCATCAGCATGAAGGCAGGAGCAATCCATGCCAACTCCATCCCAGAAAGTAGAATTCCTGCAAGCCCTGGCCTTCAGCGTGTGGGAATTTTCCTGGATGTTGAGATGGAAGAAATCAAGTTTTTTGATGTTGGAAATGATGCCCTCATTTATGCATACTGTCCTCTCTCCTCTTTGGAGCGTTTTTGTCCCTTCTTCCTTCTTGTGCTGCCAGGAGAACGTGACAGCGGTGCTGCCCTCAGAATCTACCCATGAGAAGGTGAGCCCTTCCTAGAAAGTTTCTAGGAAGTGAAAGAGACCTTTGGCAGGAAAAAGGTCAGAATGATCAAGGAAGAGACAGTGTGCTGTAGTGCGAAGATTTAGTAAATATTTTTAAAGTAGATTTTGTAGACCTAGTAGCAACAATTGTATAGATTAGTTTGGTGTAAATTTTGTAGGCTTTGTAGCTAAATAACTATGGGCTTGTGGGAGATGTTATTAAGAACTTCAAGCCTCAGTTTTCTAGTCGCTAAATGGGGATAATCGTATCTCTCAGCCAAATAGCTGTGCTGATTAGAGACAATACTGTACTAATGTTTGTAGTAAATAACAAATGGAGAATAGTAGTTTGTAAGTTAACGAGCTATTAGATTTTGTGGATGGAAACAGTATCTTTTTTATTTCATGCCATTTTCTATACAATTCCTGATAATGATAGCTGTCTGTGGAGAAGGAAGAATCAAATAGAACCATTGTGAGATGTTTTGATATGACATAAAATTTCATAGAGAGCCAAATACGTCCTGGGGAAAACTAAGTTTCTCATTTTTCTTTTCTCTGAAACACAATTTCTTGAAAGACAAAGAACTTTGGCTAAGATGTATTGTTAGTGGTGATTCATATACTAATGGAAATTATCCTTCGCCTATTTCAATAATTGACCTATTGTG